GTAAATAACATTTTTATTTTTTTTTTAATTTGTATTTTATGATTTTATGCAACTTTGCTCACAGCCTAGCTGCAGGATACCGTCGGACCGGGCAGATCGTGAAAAACCGCAYCGCGCGCTAGCCAATCACAGCGCGCGGATATGACTAGGATACCGGACCGAAAAAAATATATATTGTACTTATTATATACAACTTTTGGCTTCAACCATCGCATGCGACCAGCGTAAGTCGCATCCTTACAACATGGCTACAACTGTCGTAGGGTTATTAAGCAATTGTTTTAATTCCCTACGACAGTTGTATCCATGTTGTAAGGATGCTTTCGCAGGTTGCTATATGCGATGGTTGTAGCTAAAAATTGTGCCGCGGCCTTTAGTGTAATATCTATTTCACGGGTTTTTGACGCCGCTCCAATGACTGCACTATAAACACGTGAAATTACACAAAATCAAAATAGTACAAAGATGTTGGTAAAATTCACGCGTTAAGTGCAGTCAACCTCAATAGATCATTTATTTATTGTTTTACTCTTTTGTTCCTGGACATACCAGCATACCAATGCAAATTCTTCGCTTCTATGTATTCTGCTCAAAGAGCGACGAATTAAAGCATGGAAATGCATGGAACTGCTTTCAACGACATTTTGCATATCGTTTTTAAGGTCATCATTCACCTGACACAATCGCTGAATCAAGACAACAGTTTGGGGTATTGAACAGGGGAAGTTTCTCAGAAATATTTTGGGAACATATAGGAAGAGCACTGTATTTCCGGTATATATCTTCACACAAAGRGCGTCCAAATGCTCATTAGTTTTAGATATTGATTTTGCCGAAGCTCTGAACAGCGCAGTTCAAGGTGGGTTTCTATGTTCGAGGTAGATCCAGGGATATATTTCTGACCACTCAAGTTGCGAAATTTCAAATTTGGCGGGATTCTCAATTAAAAGCAGGGAATGGAGGCGCCGTGACTTGAATCACTCCAATTGTTGTAAATGAATAGATAAGATATTTTGTGCTTTTGCGGCGCATGTTGTAAAATCTTTTTTGCATTTTACTTCATAACCACGAATATTCAAGTTTTGTTCTACAATTTTGTTCTACAATTTTGACATTGAGAAAAGTTTTCCATAGTCAGTATTGAAATATTTAATCAATTGTCTAACCAAAAGGTCAAAAAGTAACACTGGAAACTCTCAGTCTTTTACATACTATGGAAATATTTAGGAAATTGTATTTTACAAACAATTTATTTACAAAAAAATCCACTTTAAGTAAGAGGAATAATTTGCAAATGATTTACAAAGTCTTTTGAAATTTACATAGTATGTAAAAGTACCTTGGTCCTGTAAAATCAATTTTACAGTCTGTTTACAAACAATTTACACATGATTTACACAGTATGTAAAAGTCTGAGGTTT